CTCCTCCACCTCCCTGTTCTCCTCCTCTTCCTTCTCGCTCTTCTCCCTCCTGCAGCTCCTGCCCTCATTTTCATGCCCACCTCCTTTACCTGGGCAGGTCTCATTGTGTGTCACCTGGCCCACTGCTCTTGGCCTCCACTCCTCTCATTTATTCTCTGTGTTAAACATCCAGAGGGATCTTGTCACATGCACCTCCAGCCCCCAGTTTAGGCCTTTCAATGGCCTGCAAGACAGAGTCCAAGCTCCTGAGACTGACCTTCAAGGCTCCTATTCTGTCTTCCCTGATACCTCTCCAGCCATACACCTACCCCTCCCTCTTCCCTGCACCCTGCTTTCCAGAAACATGCTTGCTTTGTTCCTCATCACCCATTCTCTCACCTCCTTGCCTTCCACAGTGTCTTCTCTGCCCAGAGAACCTTCTCCCCACCTGGGGTAACACCTACTCATCTTCAAAGAGTCAGCTCAGATTATCACCTCCTCCAGGAAGCTTTCCTGGACACCAGGATAAGTTAAGAGCCTCCTCTGAAATCCCCTCTGTTACAGATACTTCTTGCCATCTCTTCAGTGTAGAGGTGAGACCACTATAGGCAGAGGCCATATGGGCTCCTCTGTGCTTCATGGTCCCAGCTTGGCACAGACCTGGCACACAGTGGTGCTCAGCAAATGTGATTGACTGGGTGTTTATGGATCTGCTTCCACACTAGGATTTATAACTTGCCTTTGTGTCCTTGGGCACACTGCTGAGAGCTGGGGTCCTCGTAGAGTGTTAGCAGGTGAGAGGTGCTGTGGTCACTCAGGGTCAGGCACAAGTAGAGTCAGTGCCCCTAGAGAAGGTGCTGGTACAAACAGGCTGGGAACCGAGGGAAGGAAGGAGCAGGCAGAGGGGCAGGACCATAACAGGAAATCTGAGACATGGTGTCTTGTGTGTTCTCAAGGCTGGACTGTGACGCAGAGTGTGGCCCTGAGTGAGGAGCCCAGACTGCTTGGATAGGTCAGGCTGCAGCCTCTCAGCCCAGCTGTGTTGCCCAAGGTTTCCACTCAGCTGTGAGGGTGGGCAAAACTGAGGAGGAAGGGCAGGCGTGCCAGGTTGCTACCTCTCTTGTTCCCATGGACAGAGGATACTGGCCATGGTGGAGACTGAGGAGGATAAGCCAGGACCAGGTCCCTTTTCATCCTCCTGGGAAGACCTCTTGCTCAGAGAGCAGCCAGGTTGGGGGTGGCATAGGGGCCTGGGGGAGGTCTATAGAGCTGATCTCCAAAGGATGGAGTCCTGAAGAAGCCATGACCCTTCCTCCAGCAGGGGCCATCTGCCTGAGGAGAGAACACTCATTTTATCTGGGCCTCAGCTTTCTTTGCCTGTCAAGGGGGTTGGTAAGAACAGAGCTTTGCTCATCCCCGGGACTGCTGAGATGAAGAACAATGGAATCCTAGAACAGATGAGCCCTAAAAGGGAATGGGGGTGATCATATTCACGGGGTAGGCAGGGGGGCTGGCGGCCCCTTCCCTTGGAACTCCCTCCATGCATGCATGCACACATGCACACACACACATGCACACACACACGCACACATGCATACTATCAGTCCTCATGTGATTAGAAGGACAGGTTAGGTTGTGGGAATGCAGGAGTGGAGGTATGAAGGGAGGAAGAAGAGTGTGGGAGGGGAAGGGCTGGGTCAGTGTGCATGAAGGGGAAGTTTGTAAGAGACTTTGTATGCCAGGCCTCAGATTTTGCTTCTGATCCAAACCTCAGGAGCTCACTCTGAACCACAGCTATAGAGTTCTCAGCCCTCCACCCGCACACACATAGACTAAGGTACCCAGACTGCAGCATCCAGCAGGGTTCTTCCTTGCCTGGTCTCTCTCTCCCCCCACCGGTACCTTGGTCAGGGCCCACTTGAAGAGGAAGCTGATGAGCCAGCAATGGGATCAGGCTGGCTTATTCAAATCTGCTGTTTTCACACTATGCTGGGCCAGGTGCGGGTGAAGACAGCGAGATTAGCTGCACACCCACATCTTCTGGCATGTTTGGCTCCTTGAGGAGCAGACAGGGGAACATGCTCTTCCATCTTCACCCCAAGGCAGCTTTGGCCTCAGGGACAAAAGGCAGAATGGGTCCTCAGGACATCAGATGGACATTGGTACCTACACTGGCCACCTCCTCCATCAGAGCCCCTTAATTTCCGTAGACAGATTCAGTCAAAGTCAAGCCATCCTTCTTCCCTCTGGGTGAAGCCCCAGCCTTCCTCAATCGAGTAAATGCAAAGAGCACAGGTTTTAAAGCAGAACCTGAGTTCCAGTGCTAGCTGAACCAATGTGGGTCTCAGAATGTTCTGGCATCATGCCAGCCCTAGGCAAGGAACAGTCCTGCTCATTCTCAGAAGGCTCTGCAAGGAGGCATCGCTCAATCCGCTCAGCTCCCCCAGATCCGACTGGGAGGATGCCTCACAGGGTGCAGAGGCTGCAGTGAGGGCCTAGGAGCAGAGGTCACAGAAGCACTCACAGCTCGGAGCTGAGGAGAGCCCATCATTGAGAGGGTCCCCAGAGGAGGGCTGCCGTCTGGAGGCTTTCAGTACTTAACCAAACAGTAAAAACTAAGCCAGGACTTTTTAAATTTTTTAATTCATTAAAGGTTTTTAATTTGTTTATATAAAGTACAGCACACATTCAGACAATGCACAAAACATAAGTGTATTCACTGTGTTGAATTATTACAAAGTACAAAGTAAATGCTCAATGAAAGATCAAGAGGTACAGCATTGCCAGCACCTCTGAAGCTCCCTGGTGCCTCCCAATCACCTCCCCAAATGGATCTCCCATCCTGACTTCTAACGTTATTGCTTGAGTTTGTCTATTTTTAAACCAAATCTACATGGAATCATAGAGAAGGTGTTTTGCGTTTGGCTTCTCTTACGCGGTATATTTGAGAAATTCCTCCATGTGGTTTCACGTAGCTGACGCTGGCTCATTTTTATTGTTGTGTAGTATTCCATTGCATAACTATCTCACCATTCTACTGTGATGGGCATTTTTGTTGTGTCCAGGTTGGGGTTATTACAAATAAGGCTAGTAGCAATGTTCTTAGCCCTGCTTCTAGGTGCATTCATAGTTGCATGTTTATTGGGTGTATACTCAGGAGTACAATTGCTACATCATAGGCTCTGCATATATTCAACTTTAATAGTATCCAGTATCCAAGCAGTTCTCCAAATTGATGAGTAAGGCAGCCAGGAAAAAGAGGAAGACGTCTGATCTGCTGATAAAGCAGCCACTGAACAGAAATGGGATGGGAATGGATACCTCCAGGTCATACCTGCCCTGGCAAGGCCCTGGGCCAGCTGTCGCACACACACTGACTCTGAGCTCCGCAGCACCTATGTTTATCCCATATGAGGAATCTGAGGCTCAGACAGGAAGGGTCCTGTCTGAGCTCACTCTGTGAGTCATGGCCAAGCTGGGCTCTGACCACAAAGCCCTGTGTGGTCTCTGGGCTGGCTCCTAATTAACAGGGCTGCCTGAGGACACCAGATGGGCAGATCTGGAGGAGCCAAGACCTGGAACTCAATTGGGGTAGGTGCTGGGGAGATGGACCCAGCACTGGCACTGGTTAGAGGGAGTCCAGCCAGAAGGCTAGATAGCAGCAGGTGACAAGTGGTGTCTGATGAATCCCCGCTGTCCAGCAGCCCCTCCCCAAGAAGCCAGTAGCCAACCCTGCAGCTGGTTGGTGGCAGTGGCTGGGAGCCAAGCCATATCCTCAGTCAGCATGAGGCCTAGGTGGAAGTTGGGGGCAGAGCTCTGCTTCCAGGGGACTTGGGAACCCTAGCTGATTTAGGAGACCCACCCCCACATGCAAGTCCTCCATAGCCTCTGGGAAGCTAATCAACCAGAGCTTAGCATACTCCTGCTGACTTCACCCACCTCTTCCCCTTCTATGGACTTTTCTGGCTTCATGTTTTGAGTCCCTGTTATATCTTGTGCTGTTTAGATTTAAGAAATTCCCTTTACAAAACTTTGTCTAAATAGCAAGAGGGAATTTCTAATTATGAAACAAATACATGTAAATATAGCTCATTAATTCTCCTATGCATACATAAGGTCAGACATAAATATTTTCCCCAGATGGAGATCACATTGATAATTCTTTTTAGTAGCCTGTTGTATCACGTCTCAACATCCTGTGATATCTCCATGTAGGGGCTCACAGCAGGACTGCACAGCACTTTAAAACACAGACTCAAGTGTCAGCATTTGTGGGTTTCAGACCTTGGCTCTGCCTCTCAGTTTTGTGACTGAGCAAGTTATTCACCCCTCTGGGCCTTGGTTTCCTTGTTGGTAAAATGAAGATGATACCAGTATCAACCCTCATTGGCTTGGTGTAAGAACTAAATGAGGGAGGCCCTCCTCCCAACCTGGAACAGGGTAAACCTCAACAAACACCAGATATTAAGATTTTTGTTAATTACCAACAGAGCCTGGCATCCTGGCCACACCTCAGATCTTGGAGCGGGATCCCAACCCTGAGTCCTCATTTGGGTCTCCCAAGCTTACTTTGTGTCCCTTCTTGACCCGTTGGGCTGGTGCCTGTGGTCAGCTCCCAAGTGGCATTCAGTGGGGTTTCCGAAAGAATCTCACCTGGGCTCTCAGTGACATGAGGAAAGAGAGGAATTAGAAAAGGGAGAAAGAAGCAGGGAGAAGTGGCCTGGGAACTGGCTCCAGGTCCTTTCGAGTCTCTGTTTCTCATAATTTTCCTCACCTGGTTTCTGAGCCCTGGGTCCCCCCCAGCTGGCATCACAGGAAGAGACATGACTCCTGGGAGAGGACCCGAGTGCGACTTCTCTCACATGGCCAGGAGGCATGCAGGCCGAGCCATAATCACCCCTCAGAGGAGTTGCTAAGACTTGAGGGCACACTGTTCATCGGCCTTGGGGTTGACACACTGATTCCCAAGTGTGGGTGCAGATGTGGGCTGGAAGCTCAACTCTGAGGGCTGGGATCCACAGGAGATAAACAGCTACCGACGGGCCATACGGACGATGGCTGAGGACATCCTGTTGCTGCGGAAACAGGCCAGTGCCCTGGAAGCAGAGAACCGCGTGCTGAGAAGCCACCTGACCCAGGAGGAGACGGAAGAGGAGCAGGGCAATGCCGACAAGACCCAGAGGCTGGGTGAGAGCATAAAGGCCACCAAGGGCACCGGGTGCCTGCCTGAGCCTCGGCTCTGAACCGTGGGACAGCATGGCAGGGCTTTCCCACGTGTGCATGTTACTGGACACAGGCTGATAGGAGCCAGCCAGACCCTATCCACAGTGAGAAACAGGGAATCCAGTCCTGTCTCAAGCCCCAGGGCTGAAAGACACCTGCCCCAGCCCCAAACTGTGCTGCACTGAGCTGGAAGCTGCCTCCTGCCTGAGCCATCTCTCCCCCTGCCCCCTCCACCAGTGTCCATGAAGCAGAAACTGCTGCTGAGTGAGCTGGACATGAGGAAACTGAGGGACAAGGTGCAGCATCTGCAGAATGAGCTGATTCGAGTGAGCTGGGGTTTGGGGGTCAGAGAGCATGGGGAACTATGGTGGGAGTCTGTGGAGAAGTGTCTGGGAGCATAAGGGAGAAGGGCCCAGAGGGAGGGGGGCCAGCACAGTGGAGGACTCAGCAGAGGGGTCTGGGGTGAGCCCTCTAGGCCAAGGGTAATACCCAGGCACTTCTTCCCTCCTCTCCCTCTCCCCCTCCCCACCATCAGAAGAATGATCGAGAGAAGGAGCTGCTTCTCTTGTACCAGGCTCAGCAGCCACAGGCTGCACCACTGAAGAGGCACCAAGACAGGCTGCAGAAGATGAGGGCGCTGGAGGACACCGTGCGACACCAGGAGAAGGCAGGGTCTGGGGGGGGAGGGCTGTCAGATCGCCAGGGGCCAGCCACAGAGGGGATGTGTGGAGCCCCCAGACCAGCCCGGCCTCTGAACTCTGCTCCCCAGGTGATTGAGAAGATGGAGCAGGTTCTGAAGGACAAGCTTCAGGAGAGGAACAAGCCCCTGCCCAACAAGCTGCCGGGAAAGCCCGGGACAGGTGAGGCTGCTCCCCCAGATGTCATCCAGTCCCTGGAGTCCCTCCCTTCCCTGAGCTTCCCGGTTCCAGAAGCACCTCCCAATTGTGGCAGATGGTGGTACTCCCCTATTCATAGGTCCTTGCGCTCCCTTCTCCTCCCAGGGAGCCCACGGGATACCTCAGGACATAGTGTATAAGCCAGGCTAGAAAGAGGTAGGGGAGAAGCCCTGCAGACCAGAGAAAGCAGAGAGGGGCTACCCGGGAAGTTTCCAATTTCTTAACTCCAGGATCCTTCAAACTATTTTCTCATCTCCCATATTTTCAAAGAGTCTGCTTCTATAAAATAAACAAAAATGCTTTGGTTAAATCAAGGGTTTGTTTTCTCCGTTGATGTTAACCAAAGCCACCTAGAACTGCCATTCAGAGGTAGCTCTGGTGAGCAGGAGAGAACTGGGTCACACCATATCAGGGCAGCCGAAGCAGCGGCTTTCCTTGAGCCTGTCTGTGCAGCCTCAGCAGAGATCCCTGTGTGCCCAGCCAGCACTCAGCCTTTACCGCATAGGGATGGGAGTGAGGGGTGCGTTTCTGAAGGACTTTAGAAAACAATGAAAGTAGGGCTCGCCTTTCAGGAACCCTGAGGTCACCCAGGAGTGGGATGAGAGACAAGAAGGCAACCTCAGGACAGGCTAATCAGCCACAGCAAAGGCCCAGAAGTGACCATGCCAAGAACAGAGAAGGGAGGAAAGATAGAGGGGTGAAGGGCTGCAATAGACCCAGGACAAACATCAGGGAGTGGGTAGGGAGAACTGAGAATAATGGCCTGAGGAGTGGAGGCCTGATCCCACTGGCAGTGGGGACCAATGGAAGGCTTGGGAGAAGAAGAGAAGCAGGATGGAGCAAAATGCTGGAGGAGATCAGGCCAGGCACATGGAGTAGGAAAGCCCATCTCATGAATATCTGTGGCCATTTCACAGCCTTCCCCATGCTCTCAGCCTCTGGACTTCCCCAGGATCCTACAGGAGAGAACCTGCCTGTTGACCTTTACTCAGTGCTGCTGGCAGAAAACTCGAGGCTGCAGGCAGAGCTGGATAAGATCCGCCACCAGTCCGCCCCCATTATTCTGCAGCAGCAGGCCCTGCCGGTAAGAGCCACCAGCACAGGCTTGGCCTGGGTCTGCCTGAACAGGTCATCAGGTGCCTAGCTATGACTCAGCACAATCCAAGTTAAATACCAAGGCCGGGAGCTGGGCTTCCCAGTGTCTCCAACGTGCCTGGCTTCTCCTGGAGTGCCAGTCCTCAGGCCTTGCTCTTTCTCCTTGGGGAACACACGAGCCTGAAAGCTTTACCTAACCCTTGTCTAGCACCCTAGGAGAAAGCAAGCCCCTAACTGGCCCTTGACCACTGACTCCTTTTGCCATCTGGCTGGCTTCCTCTTGAACTCCACACAGACCTCTCAGAAACTCCAGTCTGAAGCACTTCCTGGGACTGGTACAGCCTTAGAGAGCTCTTTTCCCCTACCCCAGAAGGACCCTTGGGAGTTGGGAGCAGGAGACCTCGCAGAGAGGCTTCAAGATACAAATGGCCCAGGCCACTCCAAGTGCACAGAAACTCTGCCAGCAGGTGGGTGCCCAGGCCCCAGACATGCCCTGGCCCCACTCCACTTTTGAGGTTGCTGCTTTATGCAAACCCAAAGACAGGACATTTGAATTACAGAAGAGGGGTGGCCCAGGGCACAAGAGAGTTTTTCTCTTCATTCCAGGACTCACAGGAGGTGAGTTCTGTTTGAAAGCATACCTAATGCATGTGCATCCAGGTAAAGTGCTGGAGACAAGGGAGCCCTTGCTTCACAGGTTTTTCACTTCACAAAAAGACTCCCAGTTCAAGATTCCTTTCTATGCAACATTGGGCACTCCCTCGTTCATTTTACATTTACAAACTGATATGCAGCCCTGGCCGGTGTGACTCGGTTGGAGCATTGTCCCCTGCACCAAAAGGTGATGGGTTCGATTCCCAGTCAAGGCATGTACAGGAGGCAACTGATCCATCGATGTTTCTCTGTCTCTCTGTCTCTTTCTCTCTCTCTCAAATCAATAAAAAACATATCCTCGGGTGAGGATTTAAAAAGTAATAATAATAATAATAAGCTGATGTGCAAAAACCATATACTCAAAATCTGTTGGGAGAACAACTGTGAAAAAAGCACATGCCATACCAGGTCTGAACTTCAGGAAGAGGCTTAGGCCCTTGGGTCTGAGGCTCTGCATCAGAGAGCTGAGTTTGGAACTCAAACCCAGTTGGTTCCTTCCTTAGCATCTCCTGAGCTCACTCAGCCGCAGCCCCCAGCTGGGGCCACCTGTAAGTTTCTGCTTTGCCCACAGGATTTTCTTGCCAACACTTCAGACAAAATTAACCTCCTGGCCAAGCTGGAACAAGCTCAGAGCCGGATCCTGTCCCTGGAAAGCCAGGTAGGTAAGGCAAAGGAGTTCATCAAACTAGGCATGCTCCTCACTGGGCCCATGACCAGGGTTGGGGCTCACGTGTGAACAGGATCAGGGCTCAGTCTATGACCAGAGTCAAGGATCAGTGTGGACTCAGGGTCAGGGCTCACTCAGTACAATGCTGGAACTCAAAGAAGACCCATCTGTGTTTTAGTAAGAATATCGCTTGGCCCCTCTCCACCCAGCCCTGCCACCCCTGAGGTCTCTTGGGAAGGTAGCAAGCTCACATTGCCCAGGGTTTTGCTCTCTGCTCAGAGAGTAGGCTCAAGCTCTGGTTGTCTCAGATCTCAGGGATGGGCCCTGCTACCTAGAGGTTCCCCATCTGTCCCTCTCCATGGTGGCAGTTAGAGGACTCAGCTCGACGCTGGGGACAAGAGAAGCAGGACTTGACCACACGGCTGCAGGAGCAAAAGTACGGCTTGGGTCACCCCTCAAACTCCAACATCACAGACCTGCCCGTGAGTGACCCCTCTGGAAGAGCTCCCTGGGGTTCAGGCAGTAGAGCCAGCAACTTCCACCCCTAGTCACTGGGCCTTGAGAAAAACTGTCCAGGGGGGCAGCTTTAGAGCTGGAATTCAGAGCACCTAGGCTCAGCTCCTACTCTATTGCCAACAGAAGAAGCCCTTGCCTTGTCCCAATTCCTCACCTGTCTAAGGGGAATAGAAAACCCTGCCAAAACTACCCCCTCCCCCATGGTGGTGGTGAGAATCAAAAAGGAGATAACTGTGGATGAAGTGCTGTCCACACAGGCACCCCCCAAATGCTCTGGTACTGGCTGTACTTTAGGACTGAATTTGCTCATGAGCAAGTAGATGTGGCCACCACCCAACTCTCCATAGTGCTTAAGATTGTCCCGTGAGCACTGCCTTCTTGGGCAGCTGCAGTGCTGCAGACCTGCCAGGGATAGGAGCATGTTGCCAGAGAGAAATATTGCAGGTTTCCTAAAAACAGATAGACCTGCTCACAGTTGTCTCTCAAGCTCAGCCTGGGCCACCCAGGCCCCAAAGCAAAACCCCTGGTTTTTCCTGCTCTTGAGCAGGACTCGGCTCAATTCCAGGCTCCTGGCCAGGTCTGAAAAAGATGGGGGAACTGACAAAGGACATAGGGATTCCTTTGCAAATTCACTTGCTGGGCCCCAGGGACTCTGAGAAATTGGATATGACCTGCTATGGTTAAATGGGTTTGGAAATCTTTGGGAAGTCATGGCCCTCTAAGACATTTGAATGGGCCCTGTACCCCTCTGGGTGAGGGCAAACTCAACTCATCTTGCCTTGCACAACGCAGAACCCCTCAACCCACACCAAGGACTATAGGCGACCCTCAAAACTGGACCCCTTGATGCCCAGCTCAGAGACTAAGTTCATCAAGCCCTCAGACTCCCAGCAGACCTGAGTCCCAGCAGACCTGGATACTGGAGCAGTTCCCTCACTGTGTACTAGGGTGTTCTGTCCCTACCCCCTAAAAATGACTTTATTAAATTCTGTAAGTCAGTGAGCATTTGCCTCTTTCCTAGAGCAGGGCAGCCTGGGGGTGCCCAGATTCCCCTTCCCAGACCCCATTCTGGGCCTGGGCCCTCTGCTGCAGTGCAATAGTCTCCTGCCTCCCATCTTTGGAAAGCCAAGGCCATAGTGGACCCAGGAGGGTGGGGAGAAAAGCCTTTCCAAAGCAGGAGTCAAGGAGACAAGCTCCTTCCAGGCTTCTGGAAGAAGTGAGACCATCAGAGACGAACTCTGTTGGGAGGTGTGAGGGAGGCTGGGACTTTCCACCTGCCCCCAAACATCTACCATAACTAAAATCCCTTCTTTCATGTTTGGTTTATCTGTTTCTTGGGAAGGCTGAAACTTGAAGCCTGCCTGTGGCAATCAGTTACATGTTAGTGTGAAACTCCCCATCAATGTAACCAGGGACAGGAAAGCAGATGTGACTAAAGGAAGGAGCCTTCCACAGAGAGTGGCCCTGGGTTCTACCTACAAGCATGCTATGTGACCTTGGGTGACTCAAGCAACCTCTCTAGGCTTCAGCTTCCCCATTTGTCCCATGCAGAGCTTGACGTCTCCGGTGGTAAGCCCTTTCCAGCTCTAACATTTCTGAGTCAAAGATGACTCAAGCCAGGAGAGAGAAAGACAAGGAAGAGGATTGTGATGGAGAAAAGCAGAAAGGCTTCAACAGTGGACTCAGAACCTGCAGATCTTGGTAGAAGACTCAGAGCTAGCTGGGCTGCTGTCCCCAGCAGGACTAGCTCCCTTGTCTACTGGCAGGACTTAGACTCAAGTAGCTGAGAGCCAGGAAGGATCGGGCACCTGGTTCAGTTCAGGAGTTATGGAACTCAGGGTATGAAGGGGGCCAAAATTGGGAACAGTGTCAGGTAGTTCAACTAATGGACCAAAGATTCTGCTGCAGTCTCCCTGCTTACTTCCCAGAGCTTAGACAAATGGGCATGTTCCCTGAGAGCAGGAAGCTGAGGCCTGGGGAAGCCCAGAGAAGGGTGAGGTGGAGTAGAGGAAGCATACCGGCCTTTCATCCCCAGGGTCAGCCACCTCACACCAGCCCCTCATCCACAGGCCTCAGCCCTAACCATGGCCAATACTCTGGCTGGACCTTGGCAGGAAGTCCTCATGACCCACCTGGAACTCTTACCCAAAGTTCAGCCACGCTGAGCACTACACGAGCCTTACCTCTGATAGGTGGGCCTGCCCCGGAAACCAAGATTGGCCCACATCTCTCAAGATGCCCTGTTCTCTCAGCAGAGCTCTGCCAGGTCCTCTGTCCCTCTGCCTGCTGGCCCCAGAACAGTAGCAATAGCCCTCCATCTGCTATGCCTCGCCCTCAGCCCCAGGCAGCAGGAGGAGGCTTGATCCTGCTGGCTCCTGAGCTTCTGTAGGTGGGTGGATTCCAGCAGAAATGGCTTCAGGTGTGGCTGCCCATTTGTGCTCAGATCTAACTGTTGATCCAAGTCAGAGAGCATCTCCACAGGAATGATGGATGCCTTAGGCACCAGATGGAAATGAAAACACCTCACATAGTTCAGCCCTTTATTGCCTTCATGGGGTGGGGGAAGAGGCCGAAGAGGTGGGTGAAAGAGGAGTGCCTCCACTGAGCTGGGGCAGAAAGGGACAGGGATGGGGGAATTGGGGCTGAGGATGCAGACACCTCCATGGGCCCCACTCCACCCCTCAGGCCTTCCTTTCACACCACTCTCTCAGATCATGCCTCAGGCAGGTCCTGGATAAAAGGCCGGAAGGTGAAGAAGATGGGCTGGTCGGGTGTCAGGATGAGGTTGAACGTTGTGCCCACATCATTGAGATGTTGGATTTCAACTCTGAAATTCTCCAGAATCTGACAAAGAGAGGTGGTGGGCTTAGGGGGGCAGGTGGAGAGGGTCCATCTCCCCTGGGCCAGGTTCATCCACCTACAGGCAGTGCCTGTGGAGTGTGATTTGGGGAGCTCCAAGGAATCCACACTATCTCCTACTTAACCCTGCTCAGTGCCTGAAAACACACCCCTTGATTCAGGCTTTCACTTTAGTTTCTACAAAACCTTATCCCACTCTACCCCCATCCCATCACCACTGTGTGGGGACAGATGGCTAGGGGCACCAATGGGTGACAAGTGGATTAGCCCAAAAGAGGAGGCAGCAGGGAATTGGGGGTAGGGCTCTGAACAGAGATGGGAGTAGGAGGATTGGTGCTTTCATCAAGGCCAAAGGCAGCCCAGGGTACCCAGAGGTGCGCAGGCTAGACTCACATGGATAAGGAAGAGGGTCATCTCGAGCTCGGCGATCCGCCGGCCCACGCACTGCCGAATCCCCCAGCCAAAGCCTAGATTCCGGAAGTGGATGAGGTCCTTGTTTTCACTCAGCCATCGGGTGGGGTCAAATTTGCCCGGATGGAGGAAGAAGGTTGGATCTTGTCCCATGGCATAGACGGCCACCTGCACCAATGTCTGGGGACACGGTGAGCAAAGGCCTAAGTAGGCCTCCTCCTCACAGCCAGGAGCATAACCCAGCTTCCCCACTCCTACTCCCCAGGCTGGCTGCCCAGCTGTCCAGCAGACACTGCCCACTCTGCCCTTGAACAAGTCCCCACCCCTCCCTGAGCTTCACCCATCAAAGGAGCATGACTGAAGCCAGTAGGCCATGGATGGCTCAAGGGGTTGATTGTCCTGCCCTTTCCTCAGCACTAAAGGGCCCCCCAAGACCCAGGTGACCCATGGGGTCGCCCTTCTAACCCTGGGCTCCAGCAGCATTCTAGGGATCACCCACTGTGCCTACCACCTTGGCCCTTCAAACTTTGCTGCTGCCAAGGACTCACCAGCCAGCTCCAGAAAGACAGGGAGAAGCTCCCATCTGTATGCAACTGTTGTCAGTCCCCAGCTTCCTGTTTGACTGGCAGGGTCTCCAGCCTTGCTGTACCTACCTTGGCAGGAATCATGTAATCTCGAAGAACCAAGTCATTTGCAAGGTATCTCTGCAGGGTCACGGAGATGGGGTGGAGTCTGCCAGAGAAAAGTTATTCAGAAGCTAACGTCCTGAGGCCAGGACAAAGCCCCCCACCCAGCATGGCATCTCCTGTCCAGTGGCAGCACCCCAGGGGGAATCTGGAGGCAGGACCAGGACTCTGTTCCCTCCTCCCCATTCTCAGCTGTCTTCCTGGACTTCTCACATCCTTCTACCAATCTCCACAAGTCCATCCTTGTAACCATGTCCCCAGGCATAACGCTGGCCCTGCCCAGGACTGGGGGTCAGAGCAAGCATGGGTGGGTATGGGCTTGCCTCAGTGTCTCCTTGATGCTAGCTTTTAGAAGCGGGACCAACTGCAGCATCCTGCTCATGTCTTCCCCGGCCTGGCGCCGAGCAGCCAGGACCTCCTCCCGCAGCATCTCCTGCACTCTCAGGCTGCGTGCCATCTCGTACAAGTGCCACTGCAGTGTCATGGACGTCTGGCAGGGAGTGTGGGGGGTGTAGACCAGGAGGGCCAGTCACTCCTGAGGCACCTAGACCCATGCTAAATTTTCATTTCCAAGAACCCCTCCCCACCCTCATTCCAGTATCCAGAGACCATCATCTACAAAAGCTAAGTCCAATTCAAAAGGCAAATGTGCCAGAGGCTTTCTCCAGCCCAGGCAGGAATGTTTGTTTGGGGTAGCACTAGTCCCTACCCTCGTTCCTCATGTCACCAGAGCCCACAGGCTCCCCAGCCAGTAGAGGGCACCCACACAACCAATGCCTTCTTCCAAAGGACCTTCTCCCAGAGGCCTTTGGAGGCCAAAGCCCCCTTCTGTAACAGTTGTCTCCTTACTGAATGTCATTCCTTTTGAAATGCCGGTTAACAAGCAGCCCTCTCCTCAGTAGGACTTCCCCAAACCTTAGCACTTGCCTATAGAAGCGAAGTGGGAAAGGCTCAGAAAAGGAAACTAGACCCACTCCCTTGGTTCCTGACTGTGTTGCAATTAACATGTGGTGTATACTGAGATGAATCTGCTAATCTCATTATTAGCCAGAGTCATAGTGTTAGCCCTTCCCTGGAGGTATGAGTGACTCTCATCAAGCCCCATGGGCCCACACACCTTTGTGGCAGGGCCCCAGGCCAGTGCAGCCCTCCCTCCTAAGGTTAGGACATGGGTTGTTGCCAATATCTTACCAAGATTCATATTTTTGTCCAAGAAGTTGGAACACTCTCCTTCCTCCCAACAGGAGCAATCACAAAAACATGCCATACAGTCACTTCGCAGTTTGAAATCCTTGCCTGACTCCCCAGATCCTCCAGATCAAATACAGGGCCCCCCACCTCTCTCCAGCATGCACCTAATACTCTAGCTGCACTAAGCTACAAGCAGTTCCTGAAACCCAGAAATCTCCCTCTGGCTGTTTCCTCTTCCTAGAATTCCCTTCCCAGTCAAGAAAGCCAGTCTGTACTCCTTCATGGCTCGAATCAAAACTGTGTATCTGTCTCACTATTTCCAAGGCCAGAAAGAGTGGCTACTCAGGAAATACTTGTTTATTAAGGCAGTCAACTAAGTTACTAGCTGCATTGTAACTTAACTAAGTTACTTAACCTCTCTGTGCCACAGTTTCCTCATCTGAAAAGGTGGTATAATAGTAATATACCTCATAATTTTGTTTGTGAACACTAAATGAATTAATGCATATGAAAAGCTCAGGCCCTGCCTGCTGTATAGTGTGTGCTCTATAAACATTACCTAACAATAATAGCTGCTTTGGTGCAGGTAAGCATTTTTTGGAGATTCCTTATACTTAACTAACAAGAACTAAGTTTAAAATAAACTCAAAGGCTCCATCTGCAGCCTGTCACAGGGACTGAAAGTCCTCCATTAGAGCACAATATAAATAAGATACCTAGGAAATAAAGTTTTTCACCCAGGGGACTTAAACG